CTTGAGAGATGAGTAACAACAAGCTTTGATACCAACTGATGTACCCAAGCTTAGGAAAAGGCTATGGATAAATAAGGGCAGATTATAGATGGGAATATATGGTGAAGAATAGGTTGGATTTGAGTATAAAATGGTGAAGAAAGTATGGATGTTTGGAAGAGGTGATAGGGCAGGAGAAAAACAATATTTTGGAGTGGTTTTTGATGGAGAAATGAAGTGTTTAAATGGGGGAAAGGGGATGGACGAAATTGGGAGAGAAAAAGGAAGTTCTTTGGTGGTTTTCTAGTTGTATAAGGATAAACCAAATAATGAATAAGAGATAAACACACTCTTATTTTATTTGGGGCTATTTCTTTTCAGACAATAATATTCACTACTATTATATGAAATAGACTCCTAACACACACTCAAAAGTAGCCAACTTTAGAGATATTTCATTAGGAAATGGGGAGAAGCTTCCTACCACTTTCCTAAAATCAAGTGTATAATATCCATTTATTTGATGCCTTTGGTTTGTCCTCATTGATCAGTGTTAAAGGGTGAATATGGGGTGTCTTTGATGAGGGGATTTCGGCCATGTGAAAGGTGAGGTGAGGGGCTGGATTTTTGGTCCACACATGAGGAATAATACATTAAGGATTATCATTTATTCCTTTGGTTTTATTGTGGATTTGAAGGGTGATAAATGGGATATTTGGGGGGTTTTGATAAGTTCATTTTGTTCTTATTTTATTCCACATATTTTAAGCGTTATTGCACGAAAATAGTAATAAAATTACCCATTAAAAGTGTCTACTAGCGACAAAACTGATGTTGTCTCAAGAAGAATAAAATACAGGTTCTAAATTAAATTAAGTGGATTTGTCAATTTTATGTACAAATTGGATAAAAAGTTTTAAATTTTAAAGATCATAATACTTTGGAGGTAGAAATCAGTGTCCGGGAGCCAATTGGGCCGATACGGAACAACTTTGGGCCCAAAATCAAGAGAAATCGCAATTGGAAGCAAAATGGGCTCTGGATTCGGGTCTTGGGCGTCCAAGGTTGGACGCCCGAAGAGGTTGGACGCCCAAGCTACCTGGTGACACGGCTTTGCCACGCGGCACAATGCGACTGGACGGAACACGTGGTTGGTGGACGGGCGTCCAAAGTTGGACGCCCGTACTTCCTGCCCTATAAAAGCAACGCGATCTCCACCATTCCATTCACCATCTCACAACCCATTTCGGGTTTCCCCTTCAAATTGCTCAATATTTCATTGTAGATTAGTTTAGTTATTATTTTTAAGTAATTTTCGGAGGATTTGACTCCCGATCTGTTCTGTTCCGCTTTTACGGAAGTAGTAAGTTTTCTTTATTTAATAAAATGCTGTTTTAATTTATGTTTGCATAGTATGAGTTAGGGTCCGGATCTCTGGGTCCGGACTAGTTTGGTTGTTTATTTTTGATGTTAAATTAATTTTGGAATGGTTAATCTATTGTTCTTGCCTTATTTGGTTAATTAATATCGAAAGATTTAATTGGCCATTTATTGAGAAAATATTGTATGCCAAAAGGCTATGATATTCAAGTACAACGGATTAAGTACAAATCTAGAAATGGATGAGTAGTAATAGAAATATTATTATTCTAATTGTTAATTTAATATGATAAAATAGATCCAAATGATGTCCAGACCCTAGATCCAGATCTACACTTATACTATGTAAACTTAATTTATTTATGATTTTTACTCTGCTTTTATTATAATCGTTCCGAGAAGACTTTCATAAATCAATCCTAATCTTCGCCTAATTAGAGTAATTAAACTAGTTCCCTTCGTCCACTCCTCGAGAGATACGACACTCGGGGAGAAAACTAACGCTTTGTAACACCCCGACTCGAATAACCCAATTACCTAGATTATTTGAGCTGGAGTAGTTACCATGATGGTAAATACGCATGATAATTTGAGGGATAATTTAGAACCAACTTAAATTAAAATATCAAACATCAAATTCAGAGTAATGTTGAAACAGTGTGGAAGCTTAAATATAAAACATAATCAAATTGTTTTACATTTTCTGGGTACTCGCCCGAAAAGGTATTTATTTAATTAAAGCATCAAAAAAGTGGTCCACCAGTCCGTACATCTCTTCACTCTCGTTGACCTCCGGGATGGGCTCCATGACCAGTGTCGTTACCTGCGTGTAGCAAGTAAAACAAACTACACGCTCTGCGTCAGCTGAGGAATATGCTAATACAACAATTCCAAATTGAATAGCAAGTAGACATACAATTATTCATGATATGACATAATATAGCATATATATTCAAGATGATGATAATGATACGTGATTGATGTCATACATGATCATAATGATTGTACTTGATGATGATTTCATGCTGTATGATTCTAACGAGCAAAGACACCCTTGCGCTATGAGATTCGCCCATTTGGTACGACGAACTCACGCGGCCTTAGTCTCTCAAGGAGACTAGAAAGTAGGGGTGGTACTCGAAACTTGAATACCATGCACGTACACTAAGCCCGGAACGGGTGATGTCGGACTAATAAGTCCCGCACATCACGCTACAAGAGACGCACTTCCGCCTGATCTCTTGCGCATGCACATGATGTGATATGTTTCAATATGGATGATGAAATGAATCACATGATATGAACAATTTGTAAACAACATGATTCGATAAATAAACTTTATTTTATTTGGATGAAATTTGATAAAAATATCATTTATTTAAGCTACGGGGCTCGGAACGGTCGATTGTTAGGCGCGACGGTCGACCTTAAACTTCATCGCGTCGGGTTGGGGAATCACCGTGACGGTCGACCGCGGTTGACCGGCGGTCGACCGTGGTTGACTGGAGGTGGACGGCGGCACTTGGCTGGGCAGGCAACGATCGACCGTTGACCACCGGCGGTCGACCGTTTGTCTGACAGTCTTGTTCCGTTTCGATTTTTAAAGCAACGGTTGACCGTTTACGTCGACCGTTCGGGTCTGCAAATCCTATTTTTGATATTTTTGGATATCTAAAATACTTCTTTGAGCTATTTTAACATTTATGATTAACATGTCTATGATTTTGAAGAAATCCTAACACTTATATATATTCATGTAAGGAAGCTTATTACGAAAAACATATTTTCAACGTTATGAGTTTGATAAGTTCGATCTTAAAACATAGATGACTTATACTATGACAATCAATTCTAATGATATATCTAGATTGATATTCAACATAGGATTGCGTTACTAAGGTGCAATGTACTCGCCTTGATAACGTAGAGGTCGGAAAGATAGAAAGATAATAATACGCCTCAACAAACGTTCAACGTACGGTCGCCCCTATCAACTTCAAGCTTCCGACGTTCAATCTTCTTGGAAATAACCTCCGGAAGTTCAGAATTTACGAAGAAGTTGATGCTGCGTTTTTGAGCTTAAGATTTGGGAACCTTGACACCTTTTCTTGTTTCTCCTTCTTCTTCCTTGGCTCAACAATGGAATATTTTTTTTGGGTATTCTTCTTCCTGAGTTTCTGCCGAGAGAGCGAGAGGATGGTGATGGAATGAATGATGGATGGATGATGGTGGTAATGTGTGAGGATGATGGTGGTGGTGGTGGTAGGGTAATAATATAGGGAAGATAAATTGGAGGGATGTGGTGGTGGGGTCCTAATGTGGTTTGATTGGGGATTGGAAGAGATGGGGAGAAGTGTCTCTACGTGATTTGGAGGGTTTGGGGAATCAAATATATTCTCCTACTCCGTAACTGATAAACTGGCTAAAACGGTATGCGCTTTTTCGCCCAAACTGTTCTGTTTTGAAAACGGGTCACGTTTTTGGAATCAGACTGTCAAAACTGGAATTTTGATATAATTAAAATATTTTTCTGAAAACTTTTATTTTTCAGTGTTCGGGTCTATCTCAGCCATTAATTAATATTTAAATTAATTAATTCTTTTAGGCCTAATTTTGGGGCGTTATAATTCTCTCCCCCTTAAAATAATTTCGTCCTCGAAATTACCTGATCACTGGTCGCTGAAAAGTTGTGGATATTGAGATTGCATAGACTCCTCAGTTTCCCAGGTTGCTTCTTCGATAGAGTGACTCCTCCAAAGCACCTTAACTAAGGGTACGGTCTTGTTCCTCAATACTCGAACTTCTCGTGCCAGAATCTCTACAGGTTCCTCTTCATAGGAAAGATTCTCATCAAGAGTGACTGTCTCTGTTGGAATAATGTGAGATGGATCTGATCTGTATCTCCTCAACATTGACACATGAAACACATCATGAATCTTGTTTAGTTCTGGCGGTAATTCCAACCTGTAGGCTACAGGTCCCACACGTTCTGTAACTTTGTATGGGCCTATAAACCTCGGACTAAGTTTCCCCTTTTTGCCAAAACGTAAAACCTTCTTCCAAGGAGAAACCTTCAAGAAAACCCTGTCACCAACAGCATATTCGATATCACGTCGCTTGAGGTCTGCATAAGATTTCTGTCTGTCTGTTGCTATCTGAAGTCGTTCTCTGATCAACTAAACTTTCTCTTCTGTTTCGCGCACGAGTTCTGGACCCTCGAGTTTTCTCTCACTCAGCTCAGTCCAACAAACTGGTGTTCGACACTTCCTTCCGTACAGTGCTTCATACGGAGCCATTTTAATACTTGCCTGATAACTATTGTTATAGGCAAATTCCATCAGAGGAAGATATTTTTCCCAATTGTTTCCAAAATCAATGATGCAAGCTCGCATCATATCTTCAAGAATCTGAATAGTCCTCTCGGACTGTCTGTCGGTCTGAGGATGGAAAGCCGTACTGAAATGTAATTTAGAACCAAGAGCTTTCTGTAAGCTCTTCCAAAATTTGGAAGTAAATCGGGGATCGCGGTCTGATATGATGGACGATGGTACTCCATGTAGCCTGACAATCTCGCGGATATACAGTTTGGCCAAACGCTGAAGTGTAAAATCTCGCCGAATTGGTAAGAAATGCGCTGACTTTGTCAAACGGTCAACAATAACCCATACCGCATCATTCTTCTTCGGGGACAATGGTAATCCGATTACGAAATCCATCGTAATGTGGTCCCATTTCCACTCAGGAATAGTGATTTGCTGTAAAAGTCTTGTGGGTACCTGATGTTCTGCTTTGACTTGCTGACAAGTCATACACCTTGATTAGAATTCGGTAATCTCCCTTTTCATGGCTGACCACCAATAGTGTCTCTTCAGATCTTGGAACATTTTGTTACTTCCGGGATGCATGGTATACACGGTTCCGTGAGCTTCACGCAATAAGCAATCTCTCACATCACCTGATGGTACTACCAAACGATCTCGATAGTATAATGTACCATTATCTCGAACAGAGAAGTCTTGTTTCTTTCCCTTGGAAACAAGCTCACGTGTCTCAAGACAAAATGTATCCTGATGTTGTGCTGAAATGATATCCTGATCTAACGTAGGCCGTATGCGGAGTTCAGCAAGAGTCTTATGACTAAGAGCATTGGCTACCACAATCGCTTTACCGGGATGGTAAGCGATGTGACAGTCATAGTCCTTAATCAACTCTAGCCACCTTCTCTGTCGAAGGTTTAACTCCTTCTGGCTCATCAAATACTGTAGGCTCTTGTGGTCGGTGAATATGCGAGTCGTCTCGCCGTATAAGTAGTGTCTCCAGATCTTCAAAGCAAGAACAACAGCTGCTAGCTCCAAATCATGAGTCGGATAATTGCATTCATGGAGCTTCAGCTGTCGTGATGCCTAAGCTACGACCTTGCCTTCCTGCATCAGTACACACCCAAGTCCCTGATGTGATGCGTCGCTGAAAACTGTGTATTCAGTACCAGGTGTTGGTTGGACTAACACAGGTGCCTGAGTCAAACATTCTTTCAACTGTTTGAAGCTTTTCTGACAACCTTCTGTCCAAGCGAACTTGACATCCTTCTTCATCAGTATATGAAGTGGTGTGGCGATTCGAGAAAAGTCCTTCACGAAGCGACGATAATATCCAGCGAGTCCAAGGAAACTCCATACCTCACGGGTATTGCGTGGAGTTTTCCATTCAGTGATTGCTGAAATTTTGCTTGGGTCAACTTTGACTCCTTCTGCAGAAATCCCGACTCGAATAACCCAATTACCTAGATTATTTGAGCTGGAGTAGTTACCATGATGGTAAATACGCATGATAATTTGAGGGATAATTTAGAACCAACTTAAATTAAAATATCAAACATCAAATTCAGAGTAATGTTGAAACAGTGTGGAAGCTTAAATATAAAACATAATCAAATTGTTTTACATTTTCTGGGTACTCGCCCGAAAAGGTAATCAAAGATAAGATCGAAGAGAATGAAACGCACGTAGTGGTCATTATGAATGAATCTCCCAGAAAACGATTGACTATATATACTGGTGATAGGAAACAAGTCAAATTCATGACGAAGGCTTCGAACAAATTTGGGGCAAAGCCACATCGGGGCTATGGGAGTCGAACCCAATTCAATTCTTCCGCGACCCCTCCACGA